CTCAAGTGCTTCTGAAGGGGGAAAAAAAAACCCAGGATAATGGGATTGAATATAGTAGTGCAGTGGGAATGGGGTATGGAGAAGTTCCTTAGGTAGGTGGCCAGGGAAGGCCTGTCTGAGAAGTACCTTTGAGCTTAGGCTTGAAGGATGAGAAAGGGCCAGCCTGGCAAAGACCTGGGTGAAGTGCGTTCCCCACAGAGGAACATGAAATACGAAATTTGGAAGGTCGTGACTGGGGTAGGTTGACAGTGAGGAGAGTGAGATCAGCTTGGAGAAGAGCCAGCTCATGCAAGCCTTTATTCAGTTTAGATTTTTGTGTTAGCACAGTGGGAAGCCAGTAGAGCATCCTTAGCAGCCAAGTGTCAAGGTCTGGTTTATTTTTACACAGATCATACTGGGTAATGTGTGAGAAGAGATTGTAGAGGGACAAGAGTGGGAGTCTGTGGAAATGATAGTAACTGAGACTAGTGTGGTCGTAGAAGTAGAGTGAGAAGTAGGTGGTTTAGAAGTATATCTTGTCCTGACAGCATTTGCTGATGGATTAGGTGTGGAAGGGTAAAGGAAGGGGAGGAACCAAGAATGATTCCTAGATTTTCAGCTTAAGTAATTGGGTGATGGTGGTGCCTTTTGCTGAGATAGTGAAGATGGAGCAAGCAGGTTTAGAGTACGGGAGGGGGCATACACCAAGAGCTGCATTGTAGGCGTATCATGTTGGTAGTGACATCCAGGTGAGTTAGTGGGCAGTTGCTTTTAAGAATCTGGAGCTCAGGAGAAAGACTGGGTATACATATATAAATTTGGGCATTATCAGTATATAGATGGTGTTTAAAGCCAAGGGACCAGGGAGACTACCTAGAGAAAAGGAAGTTTTCTAGGATTAAGCCTTAAGGTAACTCTTAAGATTTTGAGTAGAGCTCTTAACCTAGGGACCCTTGAATAGAAATCAAGGGGTTCAGCAAGTTGGTTGGGGAAAAAACTACACCTTTATTTTCATTAACTTGTAACTAGAATTTAGCATTTCTTCAATTATGAACGTAGGGCAACAACTAGTAGCATCTGCAATGCCTGTGGCTTTGTCATGAGTGGAAATCACTGATATTGCCATATCACATTACAGTGATCACAGCTATCTCAAAATATCATTCATGCTGTCCCTACTTCAAAACTTTCGTAATTATTAGACCTACTGCTCACTGTTATTTTTTTTATATGCTAATAAAGGAGCAAAGGAGCCCTGGTGGCACAGTGGTTAAGTGCTTGGCTGCCAACCGAAAGATGGGTGTTTCAAACCCACTAGCTGTTCCATAGGAGAAAGTTGGGGCAGTCTGCTTTCATAAAGATTACAGCCTTGGAAACCCTATGGGACAGTTCTACTCTTTTCTGTAGGGTTGCTATGAGTTGGAATTGGCTCAATGGCAATGGGTACCTGTACCTAATAAAGGAGCACATGCATTACTATATCACAAATCTGTTTTTTAAGCATTTTGTTAAGTATATTTTGATTTATTTCTTTTGTAATCCTGTGTGTTTTAAGTCTAATGCATTTAAAAACAGTGAAGGGGTCTGTAGGCTTCAGCAGACTCCCAGAGTGGTTCATGACACCAAAAGGTTAGGGACCACTGAAATGCTTACTTATGAAGGGAAAGAGAAAGGCTGGAAGGGAATGTCAGGTGGAATGAAAAAACATTCTTTTAAAGATGGAAGTGACTTGATTATGTTTCAAATTCTGAGAGGGAGAAGTGGCAGCTGTCAGGGGGAGATGGTACATGGAGCCAGGTCCGTGGAGTGGCGTGAGACATGGTGATCTGGAGCACAGGTGGAGGGCTAGGTTTGGATAAGGGGAAGGAGAAGACGTATCATCCTCTGAGTTCCGAGAAAAGGATGGGAACAGGTAGAGGCAAGGTGGGGTCAGGAGCCCAGGTCACCTGCTAAGAGTGTGGTGGTAGATTAAGGGGCTTGAGGAGTAGAGCATATTTCTTAACAGGCAATTCTTGAGCGTTTCCTGAAGGTTAAGCATTATGCTAAAACTTGGGATATAAAAGTGAATAAGACATAGTCCTTGCCCCCAAATGACAGTGTCTTCTCATGAAGAACATAGACATATAAGTAAGCTCAAAAAAGAAAGCACTGGATTTGGTCTGAGGTTGGAGGCTAGAGGAGGAGGTCAGTGAAGGCTTCCCAGTAGCCTGGCATTTGGACAGACTCAAAGGATGAGTGTACGATTGCCAGGGAAGACTGGAAAGGGAGAAGGGAGAACATTAGCAATAGCATGGATGTGTGGACAAGCAGTGCTAATTTTTAAGGAAATTTTTATTGAAATACAGCATTCATACAGAAAAGTACATAAATCATGAGTATATAACTGATGAATTTTCAAAGTGAACACTCCCACTTAATCACCCAGATCAAGAAACAGAACATGACAAGCGAGCAGGGCCAATGTGAAAGAGAAAGTGTGAGAATTGGGAGAGGAGGCTGGAGGGGTAGGCAGGGTCTTCCTGTGTTGAGTTTGGGGCTGGGCGAGGGAGGGAGGGGAGCTGTGGGAGTGCAGAGATGGGCATGGCAGGGCTTCTGCCTTTACAGCTCAGTAGGGGAGGGTGATTGTTTTCTGTCGTTCTACAAAATGACTGTATTACATTATAAAGTTTAGGTAAAGACACCGTGCTCCCCCTTGCTTATTTAGATGAAGGAATTCTTAGTAAAGAATTGTTTATTTCATTGTGTACATACGTAAGATTTTTAGGGGTTCACAAAAGCCTTATTTGAAAGTTAATTTGTTTTCTCTTTCTTACTTAGGGATATTATGTGCACCATGACATGCTAGGAGAAAAAGGAGATTTCATTACTTCACCTGAAATAAGTCAGATCTTTGGGGAGGTAATATCCAATGTAAAACTATAAAAGAAACTCTAGTATTATAAATGTTTGAGAACAGATCAAGTTTTATTATTCTGTGTTTTCCAGCTTTTTGTGTACGATTCATCAAAAATTTGAATTTTGTACTAGTTTATGTACTGAGGGAATAGAGAGGCAATAGAGGGAAGAAAACGATAGAGGAGACATTTGAAAAGTTTATACTTCACTAAAATAAAGGAAATGGAGAGGTAAGAGGGACAAAGGTAAAGAAACGGAAGAGAAGTAAAGTGGTAGAGAAGAGGGGAGTAAGATGAAATGTGAGAATGGAAGAAGGAGGAGAGACGAAAGGGAAGGTGAAGAAAGAGGGAGAGATACTCAAGAAGAAAGAGAGAAGAGATAAGAATAGTGAGAGATTAGTGAAATCAAGATGAACCCTAAGGCCGCCAACCATGATTAGCCATAGTTACAGTAGAAGTCTTTGTTAAGGAACTTTGAATTTCCTTTAGGATTGTAGTTCATTTATTTTCATGTAAGTATGTTTGAACAGTTTAGAGGTAGAAAATGGTATACAGGAGAAAGTAGAATCCAGGTATTGAAAATCATTTATTATAACTAAGAGCCATATAATTATTTAAATCATATGAATATGAAAAAATGACAATCATATTTCAAATGTGTGTTTATTTTTAAGTAGTAGCACCTCTCTGTAAGTGATATCCTCTTACCTGTGTTCAAGGGACCTTTTATAGCAGAGATTGCCCTATCACCAGTATCTTTGTTTACTAAGTTTTCTTAATGGTGTCTGTTGTGACATAGTCCCAGTGAAGTTCCTGTGTGTCTTCGTGTGTGTGTATGTATGTCTATACAAGTATGTGTTGCTTGATGTCCATGACACGTTCTGTGAAGTAGGACATTAATATGATTTGGCCACTGCGAACGCCTATGTCTGTGGGGTGTGAGGCTCCTGGGCCTGGCCCAAGGGGCTACTGTTCAGTGCACGGCCCTGGAAGCTCCTGCTGAGGACATCTCAGGTGAATGCTTGGCCAGGTCTCCCCCAGCTGTCGCCACCTTCCGTACTAAGCTAGATGCAGAGAAGGCCAGCTTGCCCGTGAGAACCTGCCCTGGGGGGGTCGGGGGAGGGGACATTTGTGGCCATGGGGGCCGAGGGCTCCTGAGCCAGGGCTGGGGCATCTGGGACATGTACCTTTCCATTGGTGCCCTACAGGACCACACTGGGCAAAATGCGGGGACTAGACCTTCTGAGTGGCAGGAGCCGAGGGAGACCAGGCTTGAGAGTTTGGGCCTGGGCCTCCATCACCACAGACTAGGTGGCTTCCAGGCCACATACAGCAGCTGGGCAGAAGTTGGGCTCCGGCCTCAAGATGACGGTCTGGTGTCCTGGCACTCAGACACCTGGGTGCTCCGGCCCCGACATATGTGTGGTCAGATGTTGCTCAACTGGACGTTAAGTGATGCGTACCTGTATATACATATTAAATAACTTACATGGTGGATGTTTACAAACATTTTCCTTTTGGCCTAAAGTGCAGAGTTATGTGGAATTTTATATCGTGATATACTTTATAATACTTTAATTTTTGCCTTGTCACAGCTACTAGGGATATGGTTGATTAGTGAATGGATGGCCACTGGAAAAAGCTCAACTTTCCAACTGGTGGAACTGGGTCCAGGTAGAGGTACCCTCACTGGAGATATTTTGAGGGTAGGTAATAAAAGAATGCCTTAAAGTGTCATGAAGGTGAACCTTACTACTTCTGACTGTTTGCAAACTTTGTGGATTTCCTTGGCTTTCAGTCCTACCTCCTTGATCTCATATTTCTCAGCGAAAACATCATGTCAGAATAACATAATGAATTGTTTATTGTTGTCTGTTTGCAAGCTTAAAAAAGGGGAGAGGAGTGTGAAAGCTGAAAGTATAAAGTGTTTAGAAGACAATACAGGAGAATATATTTGCCTTCTGAGTTAGAGAAGAGAACAGCAGAAACCATAAGTGAAAAGAGTAATCATTTCAACTACATGGAAGTTAAGAAGTTCTGGTCTTCAAAGACACCATAAAGAGAATGAAAAGACAAGCCACAGAGTGGGAGAAGGTATCTGCAATACAAACCAACAAAGAACTAGTAGTTAGAATATATAAAAATGCCTTTAAATCAATAAGAAGACAGATAACTCAATGTAAAATTCAGGCCTAAGACTTAACAGGCTCTTCATAAAGGAAGAAATCCATATGGCCAATAAAAATGAGAAAGTATTTAGCCTCATTGGTAATCAGGGTAATGAAAATTAAAATCACAGTGAGACACCACTGTACTCTGTCCAGATTGGGAAAAACTGTAAAGTCTGATAACATCAGGTGTTGGTGAGAGTGGGGAGATGTGAAACAATGGGGAATCTCATAAACTGCTTGTGAGAGTAATTTGGTACAACCACTTTGAAAAGCTATTGGACATTATCTGCTAACATCAAAGTTACTTAATTACATGACCCAGCAATTTCACTGCTAGGCAGATGCCCTAGAAAAACTTGTGCATATTTGCATCAGGAGACATGTACAAGAATGTAGCGGCAGCATTTAGAATAACAACTGGAAACAACCCAAGTGCCTGTGAGTGGAAGAATGGATAAATACATAGTGACATAGTCATACACTGCCGTGGAAATGCATGGAATTCCAGTAGAACACAGCAATATAAAATATGGAATGTGATGTTGAGTGAAAAAAGCAATTTGCAGAAGACTTCATATCATATGATTGTATTTATAGAAATTAAAATATAATTAGCAACAAACCATACATGTTTGATGCTACAGATATAGTTAGTAAAATTTTAATGAAAAGCCAGCTTGAAGTTCAGGATGGTGGTGACATCTGAGGGAAGGAAGGGGGGTACGGGGGCTTGAAAAGTAAGGCTCTTGTCCCATTTCTGTAACCAGATGGTGGGTATTCTTCTGTGTATAATTTTTTCTATCATTCTACCTAATATTTTATAAAAACATTAAAAGGAAGAAATATTGGTTATAGTATATAATAAATAATAGTGCTTTTAAAATTTAGTTTATACTATTTTGAATCCCATCAGTCTGTTGAGATTATTTTGTGTGTACCTGGCAATTCAGTGTTTTTTTTTAAAAAAAGAAAGTAATAACAAAAGAATCAATTTAAATGGTAGTTTCTTGATGCTTATGTGATTTATGTTTAAAATTAGGAATTGAAGGATTAAAAAACGAAATTGTAAATATCTGACAAGTAAGAATCTTGATTATATCGTATTTAGGAAAAATAAATAAAACCACTAATTTAAATTTTCAGAGCCGTATTTTATATCTCTTCAAATGGACAAAGGCCTTTGAACATAAAATACTTAATAATATTCTTATTTTCTTGTTTCTAGTCACTTTAAAAATCATGCCCATACCCCTTAAAAATGTATGAAGGATACTTTGGTAGATTGAGTTGTAAGAACTCTTGAAAAGGCAAGAAATTAAAAGCAAATAGCCAAAGAAGTATTATACAACCTGTTTTATTTTGTATCATACTGTCTGAGGCTGGGTTCTCTAGAGAAGGAAAACCAGCAAAGTGGGTAAATATACATAGAGAGATTTATATCAAGGAGAAGGCTCTCGATTGTAGAGGCTGGAATGTCCCAAGTTCATGGATCAGGATAGAGGCTTCTCCCGATTCACGTAGCTGCAGGGGCTGGCAAACCCAAGATTGGCAGGTTGGAGAGCAAGGCTCTTGCTCACAGGCTGTGAAGATGGACGAATCCCAAGATTGGCAGGCAAGACCATAAGGCTTTTCCTGATTCATGTAGCTGCAGGGGCTGGCAAACCCAAGATCAGCAGGTTAGAGAGCAGGGCTACCGCTTACAGGCTGTGAAGATCTATGAATCCCAAGAGTGATAGATAAGCTGATAGCTCAAGTCCCAAGAACCAGGAGTCAGATCAACAGGAGGCCCCTGCAGGATCCAGAGCGAGCAAAAAGCCAGACGTCTGCTTATATTTGGATGCAGGCCACACCTCCAATGAAACTTGTTTTCATCTGATTGGTTATTCATAGTATATTCCGTTATGGGAGTGATCATATATAAACACTGAGAATCATGGCCCAGCCAAGTTGACACACAATCTTAACCATCACACATACTTTCTGAAAGTTTATTCTCTTGGGATGAAGGTTTTTTCATTTGTAGTTTTAGGACAAAACTAAGTTGGGACAAATTATCTTGTCCATATTGTCAGTCTTACTTTCTTATCTCTGAATTAGGAGGCAAATCACCAGTGAAAATTAATACAAATGAAAAATAATATTGATGTGCTTTACGCTTTTGGCTTTGGGATTTAAGCATTAAATTACTGGTAAAATACTAGTATTTAAGTTTTTTTTTGTTTTTTTTCCCCCTCTCATGTTTATAGCAGTAAAGAAAAGTTGTGTAGTCTAAGAAAAAAATGAAAATGTGATAGAATCCCAGAGTAAAACTGTCAAGTTATTATTGTTGTTAAGTGCTGTTAAGTCACTTCCAACTCATAACGATTCTGTGTACGACAGAATGAAACACTGCTCAGTCCTGCACCATCTTTATAAACGTTGCTATGTTTGAGCTCATTGTTGCAGCCACTGTGTCAGTTCATCTCATTGAGGGTCTTCCTCTTTTTCGCTGACCTTATACCAAGGATGATGTCCTTCTCCAGGGATTAGTTCCTCCTGATAATATGTCCAAAGTACATAAGACGAAGTCTCGCCACTCTCCCTTCTAAGGGACATTCTGGCTGTACTTCTTCCAAGACAGATTTGTTTGTTCTTCTGGCAGTCCATGGTATATTCAATATTCTTTGCCAACACCATAATTCAAATGCGTCAATTCTTCTTTGGTCTTTTAGTCATTGTCCTGCTTTCACTTGCATATGTGACGATTGGGAATACCATGGGTTGGTTGGGTCAAGTGCACCTTAGTCCTTAAAGTGACATCTTTGCTTTTCAACATTTTAAAGATGTCTTTTGCAGCAGATTTGCCTAATGCACGGTCATCTGATTTCTTGATGGCTGCTTCCAGGTGCATTGATTGTGGATCCAGGTAAAACGAAATCTTTGACAACTGCAGTTTTTTCTCTGTTTATCATGATGTTGTTTATTGGTCCAGTTGTGAGGTCTGATTTTGTTTTATGTTGAGGTGTAATCCACACTGAAGACTGTAGTCTTTGATCTTCATCAGTAAGTGCTTCAAGTCCTCTTCACTTTCAGCAGGCAAGATTGTGTCATCTGCATATCACAGGTGGTTAATGAGTTTTCCTCCAGTCCTGATGCTGCGTTC